TCCATTCTGTACCTGCTGGATTGGTTGAAGTGCGTAGCCCGGGGCCCAGGCCATAGTGGCCTTAGGCCTGGATTCGCGACATTGTGCGACATATCACTAATTGAAACGCCCCAGAGGGCTTTGAGTATTGACGCCAAAGAACTGGCGAGACCATGAACTTGAAAAAAATGCAAAAGGGAGACATTTGCCCAATTCTCTTTTCTCTACGTCAATAATGAAGATTCCATTGTATCTTAGGAGATCTAAATGAGTTATGACGTCTACCCAAGTCAGGCGAACGCCCCTGTCTGAAAATGTGACCTCTAGAAAACAAAAATCACTTGATAGGACCAACAAAGAAAGATGGGACAAACAACCTAAAGGCAATTGAGAAGAAAGTGGCGGGGGAAAAAAAAGATGAAAAAAGATGTGCATCATCCGTGAATCGAACACGGGCCTCATCGATGGCAACGATGAATTCTACCACTAGACCAATGATGCTGTTGTATGATAACGGCTTCCAATTTTGAGTCTATTAGTAGCTGTCGCAGCTATATGTGTATCTTCTGCTTAGTTTTGCTGCGATCTTAGGCTCACAACTTTGATCAAGGGCATAGTTAGTCTAGTTGACCCTGTAGTACACCATAGTAAGACGTTGGAAAAGTCGCCTTTGTCCTAACAATTGATAGCTACACTTGTGTAAACTACACAGTAAACAAGAACATGCATTATGCATGATCTAGTGCAAGCCATCGGGGCTTCCTATCTTCCGAAGAAGCGCCAACATTCAAGGACCCGCTCTTACCAATGGGCAATTACATTGTAAGTTGAATGATTATCACTGACGCAATATGTCAATTTCGTAGGAGAGAAGGATGAGTCCGCATACTGGATCCTGAGCCGAAACTCGGGCTCAGCGTGTCTACACCAATTTCCTGTTGTGGTAATGATAACACTCCAACGGAAGTATGCGCGCCGACGGAGGTATGCAAATGACCCACCGGCTAATTTGAGGGTCCCTGGCGGAATTGCCTGATTTATCTGTGATTGACAGGCATACTTGCTGTGTAGATAGTAGTACAGTAGTCACTACGCTTGAAGTTGTTGTTGTCCTTTACATAACGACAACAGCCTATGAATGAGATACTTTCATCCAGACTACAGTAGTTCCTATGAGCTATTTACGGGTGGCCGGGTGGTGTAGTAGTAATCATCATGCATGACACTCCTACAGGCGTCTGACAGAGGTTTCTCTGGTCGAAGCTTAAGTAAATAGTGTGGTGGGTTTGATTCCCATGACTGTCGAATACTGACCATGCGAAAGAAGAGGTTTATCAATAAGATATATGCCCAGTGCCCGGGAGGAGGCTAAGTATATTCAAATAAATCTAGGGAGACTACAGACAGCTTGATCCTTATATATATCACCTCCCTTTGCTGTCTATATGCTGAGTATGGTGAGAATTTTGTAGATTTCTATCTCTCCGAGGGGTTATTCTTTATAATCTTTACACCCATACATAGATCAGCCTACAAAACTGGGAAGGATAGGATTATAGTCCCATACTAGAACGTACATGAAGACATACCGCCCGTATCTAGTTAGATAGACAATTGCTCGCGCGTTTTAGGGAAGGAATCTCTCTTCTTCTGCTTGTAAGCAACTCAGCAAGAGCACCCTGGCCGTGCTGAGTTCGAGTATAAGTTCCTCTGTCTCTCTATGAGCTACTTAATTTATGAATCAGGTGTAAGAGACGATTCTCGGAAGTATGGTAACATGGTGATTGGCCTCCCTATCGATCGCCCAATGTCGGGACAGTTGAGCCTTGGCCCACAATATGCAAAGGAAGCACTGCCTCAGTGCGCCCGATTACTTGGCGCTAAATACGTGGTGGGGGGCCGTGAGCCCTTATTCTGCCCATAAGAGCCTCACTGTAGATCGACGGAGGTGCCAAAAAATTGTCACAAGCTCTTTGTCTATCGGATCTTTTATGCCGAGCAGAAGTATAGCGCAAGTAGGGCGCATAATATATTTTACGGGTCAAGAGTGATGTTGTCATCTCCTTGTGTAACGGTAAGCACCACCATTGTATTTGGGGTGATTGCACAGCACAAACCTAATCCTTCGCCCGCTGATCTCAACACGAGATCGCCGACCGAAGTGTCGGAGAGGGCTGTGAGCTTTAGAGCCATGGGTCAACCCGGCGGGATATTGGTCACTAGAAAACAGATGGAAAGACCGAAGAGCTCACGTGGATGTTGACAAGACCGTACTACGATGCCGGGGCAACGACAGGGAGAGAAAGGTATGCTTGCCAGGTGATCAAAGCACATTGAATTTAATTGAGTGGTCCCATCCATATGCTGCCCTATGGTGCTAGTAACCCCAATCCTCAGTATGGTTGGTGGAAGGAACTTGTGTGGTTCGCCTGCTTGCCGCATAGCCGTCTTCGTCTTCTAGAATGATGTAATTTGCATGATTAGCAGCGTAGCGTCGAAATATCAGAGGTGAGTTCGAATTCTTAGCGCGTTTAGTACTTCCTCTCTGGCACGCGCCTTTCGGTCTCGGGCACAGTCCAAGACATTGGCGCAGATTGGTCCGTCGTTGACCGTAAGCGTGGCAGAGTCTGGGATAAGTGAGAGAATCAGGAGTATCCTCAGCGACAAAACTGCACTATATGGACGGATTGGGGCCTTCTAAATTGCTCAGCCTTGGGAGGCGGAGTAAAAGCAGAGCTCCTGAATGGTTCCAACAACAAGTAGTAAATTTACAGCTGGCGGGCGGGAAGCCTCAGGGATCAAGGACACGAGGCGTCCAGAAGGAATGGGCTAAGAAGAGGGTCCAACTTAGGAACCAAGCAGCCAAGACGCCCCCCAAAAGGTCCCATAGGACCAAAACTAGCGACCCACAGCCACCGCTGCGGAGAACATGTGAGTTGAGTTCACAGTAGATGTAGGATGTGAGTAGTAGTTCATTGTGTTAGCTACTACCCTACGGGAAGCCTGCCGTCGAGTGGTTGAGTCGTGAAACTAAGGTTGCAGCTGGTCAGTGGTATTTAATTCCCCTCACTCCCCTCTTCCGATGTCATATTTCTAAATCTCTCTCAATCAGTTCATCATTCCGACTGCTAGTTTTTATCAATATTTGCCGTTGCAGCTGCGAACCCTTCTCAGCGCACCCTGTTTACCTCTCTCGTTGGCTTCAAATAATTGCTATTCCGTCGTCCCCTACGAGCTTAGGTTACCGTTCTAGTCCGATTACCGTTACACACTGTACACTAGTCTACGACCTGCGATTTCTCCTAGTTACCAGTAACTGAAAATGTCAGCCGAAAGAAGCGCAGATGTTAACGGCAAGGCGCCAGTCCAGCAACCTACTAACCCTGCCCGCGCACCTGGTGCGGGTCTGGTTAATGTGCAACCAGCTCGTTTGGACGATCTGCAACCCAAGTATGCGCAGCAAATCCAGCACGGTGAAGATAACCCCGATGCGCACGGATGGTACGCTTCATTCAGTAAGTTTTGACCTTGACCTATATTACACCGTCAAAGCTCTTTTGGTCTAACGGACCTTTGTCGCTATTAGTTCACGGACTTGGTGAATGTCTTGGTTGCCTGGGTGCCATTCCATGCTGTTTCTGCTGCCCAAACCCCTTCAAACCAGTCGCGCAGGGTGAAGTCGGCCTGATCACGAGATTCGGAAGGTTCGTGAACCCCCACGACGATCACTCTAGAATATATATCCTGATTGATGTCCTTCCAGATTCGAACGTTCCGTCGATCCCGGTCTGGTCAAAGTGAACCCACTGAGCGAGCATCTTACAGCGGTGGATGTTAAGATCCAGATCGTCGAAGTGCCCCGTCAGAGCTGCATGACCAAGGACAATGTCAACCTGAACCTCAGTTCCGTGATCTACTACCAGATCGTTTCTCCCCACAAAGCCGCATTTGGTATTTCCAATGTCCGCCAGGCACTGGTGGAGCGTACTCAGACTACACTGCGTCATGTCATCGGCGCAAGAGTTCTGCAGGACGTTATTGAACGCCGTGAAGAGATCGCTCAGTCGACTTCAGAGATAATCGAGGACGTTGCTGGTGGATGGGGTGTCCAGGTTGAGTCCATGCTCATCAAGGACATCATCTTTAGCGAAGACTTGCAGGACTCTCTTTCTATGGCTGCGCAGTCGAAGCGTATCGGTGAAAGTAAGGTTATTGCTGCTCGTGCTGAAGTCGAGTCGGCCAAATTGATGCGTCAGGTAAATATTCCATCTCATCAAAGTACTCGACATGAGCTAACTTTCCATCTTTAGGCCGCTGATATCTTGTCTTCTGCACCTGCGATGCAAATCCGCTATCTCGAGGCGATGCAAGCCATGGCTAAGACAGCCAACAGCAAAGTCATCTTTTTGCCGGCAATGAACCAGACTGTGCAGCAGCAAATGGCTGCGGCAGAGAATGCTGGTGAAGGCCCTAGTCGATACCAACAGCCTGATGATGGATTCCAGCGTGCAATGAATGCGCGCGTGGTCGAAGACATCTAGGTGCGGTGTGCCACATGATTTGATGGCTTGATAGCGCTGGAGAGGACCATTGCCTGGTTTCTGATGAGAATATGCTAATGACGCTGAACAATATTTATGTATTTGGAGACACCACAAGGCCGGATAGCCTTGTGTCTTTCCACTCACTTGTCCCCCATTCTTGCTTGGGGTCCTATCTGGCTTTGACGATACCCACATTCTTTTGTTACATGCTTGTGTATTAAACGGGACGATTCTGCCTCTAATTCAATAATAACATTACCTTATGATTTCCCTCGTAATTGAAAGAGACTAGTGTGAAGGTATTGGTTTATTTGACCATCAATAGCTGTGTGTTTCTGCCCAGTCGCTTTGAGCAATATATGTATCTATCGCGGCAGATAAGCAGTAGATACTGCCGAGGGCGGTGTGCCTGGCTTCATCTCAACAGTCAGTGGCCGAAAGTCGTAGACAAGCATGACCTTGTTGCTAGCTATCTGACGACTCACTGCATTGTGCCTTGACCTTTACCGGCGGGCTGTCGATTTATGAAATAGCGCTGAAACAGGGCGTAATTGCCCATCTGTCCTCTCGATCAAGAAGACTGCTACCGAAACAATGGCTCCTTCGCCGACCCCCAGCCCGGCTCCTACAGCTGCGAAAGTACCAAGCTCACGCCCGTCACTCGAGATGACACCAGACTTCACTGACCAGTCCTTTGATCCCGCCGAGTACCTCAACAATGCTCTTCCTGCGCTGACGCTGGCGTCATCTCAAACGAACCTCTCGCGGGGTCCTGCGGGGGCCTCTTCCCTGCCCGAACTGTCCACACAACTCCAGTCCGTCCTCTCACAAATAAACGCGCAGAATGCTCGACATTCCACAGCCCTTACACAACTTACCGATGAGATTCTACGAAGCGGAGGTCGATTAGCTTACGAAGTTGAATTGCTGCGTGGAGAGACTATTGGACTTTCGGACACGTTGACGGACGCACTACGGAGTGACATTGAGAGATTTGTCCCGGGCGCTGCGGACAATGACAAGATCGCCGGGGCGGAGGAATCGGAAGATGCTGGGGAACAGGGAGAGCGAGCGGAGACAATCACAGTGCAGGACCCTGAATATATCACCAAGCTACGCACGTTGAACCAAGTCCGGGCACGACTGGAAGAAGTGGTGCAGACCTTCGGAGATGCCATGGAATGGCCCCTCCCGCCATCGGAGACGTCTATAACATCGTCATTTATTTCGGTGTCGGCGCCGGAACCGGGGCCTGAGAGCCACAGTCGCGAGGAGAAGGGCCAAGAGGTGGCTAAGAAGCTGCGAAAGGAAGTAACGGAGCTTTTAGATAGCAACGGTGGCGGGCAGGAGGGGATTGAAGCTGCCTCGCGACGTGTTGAGTCGCTACGTACATTGGCACTTGTCTGGAAGGGCACTGCGGAGGAGAAGGCCCGGACCCGGTTTGTAGACAGCCTGGCTAAGATCGTGGAGGACCGTCGCAAGGCCCTAGACAATCAGGGCCGATCCGACCAGTCCCAGCAGCCGTCCGGATCGTCTACGAAGGGACCAACAACGGGTCATCGGCGGCAAGAAAGCGAAGGCCCGGGGGGTGGCATCTTCCGCAATTTGCAACGGCTGCGAGAAGAGATATACCTGGAATGAGCCACTGCTTCTTCGAAATGTCTATATTGTTGTATTGTCGATTTATTCTGGGCCATTGATTGCATTTTGGCGGCGTTGGCATTGTACATAAGGATTGCCAGTGTGCTTCTGTGTGTCTACTATAGTACCGTGCGCTTTTCCTCAGCCCCGGAAAATTATTTGATAGGCGGGCTTTTCCCATAAAGATTCGGTAGTAGCTAACCGGCTCAACGGGCCTGGGGTTCATGCAGTTCATACTACCGTCTATCAGACGTCCTCGGAACTACGAAGTGGCTAGTCGAAGCGCCTGCTTCGTAATCGTCTGTTCTATTCATGCAATCCAAAGCCGTAGATGGAGCACGATTTGAGACGGCACTCGTCCGGGCTGCATGGCTTGTTATGGACGGGGGGAATCTAGGTCCAAAGTAGAATGGGCAATGTGGAGTCATGCATAGGGAGACGTCAGTTTACAACGTAGGCCGAACACAGGGCCGGCGATGGACTAATAAGCAAGCAATCTGAAACCACCATCCGATTCGTGCCAAGAACTGGGAGGGCACGGGCAGTATGGGATGTGCAGTCTCGATGACGCGGCCAGATCCAACGATGGCGTTTCCCGCTGAGTAACCGACTTTCGTGGGCTGAGGCGAACAACTTTCACTATGGAGGAGACTATGCACCTGAGGGTGGGATCAGTAGATCCCACAAGGAGATAAGCTTTCATGGCCCGGCTAGAGACCGACAAAAGTACTGCAGAGCAGGGGAAGAAAATAAAAAGGTAAAAAGGAAAAAGAAACAAAGATGCGGTGGGACATTAACGGGTGCAGGGAGCGATACTCGCACATCGCAATACCGACGGAGGCCAGGGCCGGGAACCAAAGGGGAAAAGCGAGGAGTCCATAATTCATGATCCATCCAGTCGATTGAAATCCGCAGGAAAGAAAAAAGAGGAGGGCAGGCCAATGACCGGACAGCTACTTTCCCCCAGTCCCTGGCCCGGTTCCACACGCCGACGTAAATCCTCACCCAAATCGGTCACTTTTCTGTTGCTGAAGTGGTCTCCCGCCCGAGTCGACCTTGAACTACTTTCCCTCCTCCTCTTCGCGTTTTATGTCCGCGTGGCATGGATCTCTTCCCCGACACTGGCTTCTTCTTCTTCTTCATCTTGTTGCTGTCGTCACCATTGACTGTTGTCCTTTCTGCCTCAGCATGGCGCCTAGCAACCCCATTGAACTCTCTTAATCCGATATCCCCCCCCCGTCAGCTTCGCTGCTCTTCCTGATCGCATGTCCCGCTCGCAGGAATGCTTATCGTTGGGAAGACCCTCTTCTACATTTGGCTAAACCCAGCGGTTCTTGTCTAGTGACCACGATCTGACGTTCAGTCGGATCGTCCGTCCACCGCTGCTGAGCAGCGGTACTCTAATCTAGTGTCCAAGCAAAGTTTCCACTTCCACTGCTTTCAGGATGTCATTCCAGGGCATCCTAGACGGCCCATGGGCCGATCATTATCACACGGCGCGCTCGTCAATGACGATGCTATGGCAGCAACAGTTTCATCCTCGCCGTCTCAGAGCTCGTCCCGTTAGGACGCTGATGATCCTGGCCGCCACATGCTTCTTCACGCTGCTGTTGCTGTCGCGATCCAGTCAAGTATGTCTACTATGCAATGTACTGTCTCAAGGAAGTGGTACTGACAAAGCGCCTCTTTCTCTAGCCACATGTTAGCTACTGGTTGAGATACCCATCATATCCCCCCTCCCGTGAGCGCCCCGAAGACTTGCCGATGGTCTTCACTTCCCCGGGTCATGTTTTGCACCGAAATGATAGTCTTCCGCATAATCTGCAAAAGTCAACCCCGTCTTTCCACCTTCTTATACCTGCATCGCAAAAGTCCGCCTCACTCTGTCGCACCTTGACGTCGTCAATGATACTGAACTACCCACCGCCCACGTTGATTAGCTATGGCAAGTCGCCTTCAACGGGGTACACAGACTACGCTGCCATGGTGGACCGCATAGCCGGCATATACAATTACCTGGCGTATAACCCGCAAATAAAGGATGAAGATCTCGTCCTTATCGTTGATTCTCAGGACGTGTTTTTCCAGTTACCCCCTGAGGTTCTGATCCAGAGGTTCCAAAATCTCCTCAGGGAGAACAATGAGAAATTGCTTCGGAAATATGGTACCGTGACCGTTGACAGGCCGTACCGTACAGGCTCGCAGGAAACGATACAGAAATACTCTCAGAGAGTCTTATTTGCAGCGAGCAAAGAATGTTTCCCTGGGCTCACCCTAGATGCAGGGTGTGTGACAGTCCCAGAATCCAGCCTGCCCCCGGACGCTTATGGGTGGAAGACGGATATCCACCCACAAGGACATCTGAATCGGCCGCGCTGGCTTAAGCCTGGCGCAGTTGTTGGCCAGGCAGCTGATCTCAAGTTGATATACGCCGAGGTTCTGCGGTTCGTGCACCAACACCGCAACGCACGGGGAGATTATCTAGCTATGACGCAAATGTTTGGTCGACAGGAATATGTGCGGGAGCTTGAGAGGCGGGATTCTGCGAATGGATTCATGGAATGGCTCTACACACTCATAGGCATCTCTGATGCTTCCAATATCACAGGAGCTACCCAACCGCGCCTCGAGTCTGGCACCCGCTATGAATATGGCATTGGAGTCGACTATGAATCCCGTCTGTTCTTCAACATGCGCAATGCCAAGATGGATGTCGAATGGCTTCACTACAATAATGTCACCAAGACTTCGGCAGTGCAGATGCAGCATGGCGTCCCTAGAGAAAAGCGCCTTTTGATCCCTTCGGATATAACGCCTGAGAGCATCGGTAACCCATTCATCCAGCCCAAATTTGGCAAGGATGATTGGCTGAACCCGCCTTTCAATGAGACGCTCGACAAACTTCCGAATCCGCGCAACCATACTTGGCACAACCTCCCGTTGATGACCAACATTCACTCGGCATCTGTACCGGCTCTGTTGCATGTCGATGGGGATCATTCTGTCCTTGACAAGTGGTGGTCAGAGATGTGGTATCAACCATGGGCTCGTGCTCTTCTCCGCAAGTACATGCGCACCCCGAATGGGTTCGACGCCGCCCAATCTTCCCTCTTAGGAGGACAAGAGTGGTGGGACATGCGCGGTGGTAGGGGAGGTCTCTGGACTGACAAGGGTGAATGGTTAGCCTACACTGAGGTTTGTGGAAGCTATGACAAAGAGCTATTCGATGATGACTTCGGTCCCTTTGGCAAAGAAAGTGGCGAAGACGCTGACGAGCCGGTTTACAACCGATTCGGAAACGTCATCAAGGGTAAAGAAAAGCCAGGCATTTGGTGATCTGTCTCCAAGACTGGTTCTTGAGAAAAACTTACCGCCTGCCAATTTACCTTTGGTGACATGGCTGGCGTGGGCCTTACTATTTATCCACAAATGTGGTCCATTGTTCATTCTGCATATTTCATTATAGCGTGAAGCTGCAAACTGCAGCAAGAACTTGCCATCAGCTATGGCCGTGCATATCTACATGGTGTTTGGGGTTCATGACTTATCGATTTTGAGCGAAGTGGATCTGATGTGATGCTTTTGCATATGTGATGGGCCTTACCCTCCTTGCTTTGCTGGTTTCATTGCAGTCAGGCGTAAAGGCTAGTTGTTCTATTGTATGATATTCCTTCTTGAGTCGGGATGCCGGAGAGTATCTACGGGATACTTCATTATATACCAGGGTCTGTATAGAATAGATAGAATATGCTACAATTCGTTAGTACTATCACATGCACGTAAGTAATAATCCACATAGAAATAACTACCAAGTTTAGTAGTTAATAGCCATAGTTCATGGTATATATATAGTACGGTCCGCACAAAAAAAAATCTATCCCTCCTCATCCATCCCCTCCCCCTCCGAACCCTTCATCCCCGACCCCAACGTCTCCCGAATAATCGCCAAAACATTATTCACATCCTCATTACTCAATCTCTCCTCGCGCTCCTCAATCACCGTATCCAACAGCGCCAATGCCCCGTAATCTTCTTCTGGTATTTCCCCTTCCCCTCCCTGTCCTTCCTCGGCCCCATCCACCTCCATCATCCCATTCGTATCCTCTCCACCATTAACTTGCTGTTCCGCATTCTCATCATCATATTCTTCTTCTTCTTCCCCACCTTCACCCGCCTCTTCACCATCCTCTCCTTCCGTCGCGGGTGCATGTAACCCCACCCCCAGATTCACGATCATCAGCACCTCACCCTTGGTGAGCCCGTAGGGCTGTAACCTGGTGACGAGCTCCCGGAGCGCATGGTCGAGTGGCGTGGGGGCGTTGATCTGGGATGGAGGGATGGCTGTTGTTGTGGTCGACTGTGCCTGAGCTTGTATTTGAGCGGGGGTGAGGTTCGTGTATTTGGGGTAGTTGAGGAGATGGGGGGAGAGTCGGGTGACGTAGTTGTGGATCTGAAAGTTTTGATTAAGAGTCAGCTTTTCTGGTTTGTGCATGTATGTATGTTTGATGCAAGAAAGAGGGTGTACTCCGCAGCTGGGTGGTGCGTAGCTCGGGACCGTCTAAGTAGCCAGGCAATGTATCCAGCCCCGCATAGCTACTCGACAGAGAAACACATAGGTTGTGGATATCAATTCAATAAAGGGATGCGCACCTCCTTAACAACAGTATTGTGGTCTCGTAGATCCGGACTGGGAACCCAGTTTCTGGAGTTCGGCGGCGGGTTCGGTGGTCGCCGTGGAGGATTGGCCGTTAAATAGGCCAGGACCTCTATGTTGGTGAGGGTGGCGGATTGGGGATCGACGATCTGTTTTTCGCTACTTAGTATAATACTTTATGATCAGGGCCATTGTATCAGAATTTACCCTCATTGTGATGGTCTAATTGTGCAGATTGTGGTGATATTGGCCGATTGATAGGTGGATAATGCGACGCGGGAAAAAAAGTGCTGGAAATGCGGGGCGGAGAAGGAATTGGGCTGATTCTGCCGGGCAATCATCAGCGGTGAGAGAGTTGGCATATTGTAAATAGTAAAGAGTGATATTGGTGCAATTAATCAAGTCTCTCGAATGAGATAGGAATTAGAACTAGGTAAATCAATTGCCTCACGCCATGTACACGCTCTTCTCCACTGGTCTTGGTTGAACATTTCGACAGGCCTCAAACGCGTACTTATTGCCCCAGTCCATGGCTTCTTTCTCTAGTGATTTGATGTCAACTCCATTTAGCACACCCATCTGCTCCTGTAGATCCCTTAACACATCCAGTAGCCACGTCCGGCATGTTCTGCCTTCGTTGTCATTCAGATGTCCGTCGTACGTTCGGCAAACACGGTCTAAAGTCTCCTGCGCTGAGGTAGTGGACGGTATGGTTGCAATCTGAATCAGTCCCACAAGGAGGAAGGCTTTCAGGATGCCGGTGCCTGATTCGGGACCATGTCCGGGAATCCAACCGTTGCCTTCGTTGGTGATATGGTACTTGATGCCGCTGTTGACGCGGTGGTGGTAGAGCGCCCAGTGGTAATCGTTGGGCTTAGGAGGATCATCACGAATGAAGAGCACAATGTAGAGCGCATTGGGATCCATTTTGGGATTTAGAGCAGCACAGAAAACACTGCGGAGATCAAACTGGATTGGGATAGGATGGATTACACCGGATCCATGATGCTATGGAAGTGGACATACCATATGCAGGGGGTTAGCGGCTGGCTTGCTGCAGGCACGTGCAGGTGCCTGCAGGCAGTAAATGCAATGCAACCACTTCACCTCTTATCTATACTCATTACCGCGCTCAGATGGCACCACCACTATCTTTAATTGAGGTGCCGGATGCACATGAGAGTTGACTGCTTTCTCAACTATGATCTATTGAATATTGGCGGTTAAACCTTCACATTCAAATTAAGCTGAAACTAGGCTAGGTGAGTATGCATGAGATAAGGGGGGAAAGCTTAGCCAGACCAGCATGTTGTTCGGGCAGGATCCGGACTACTGGCTAGCTTTGTTTAACATTAAGTCGCCGGCACTAATGCTAGGGCTGACTGCGTCGATACAACAGAGCTGACTGCAAGTACAGACGTCCAGATAAGCTAGACAGGAAAAAAAGTCAATCGGTAGATTTGAATCATGAGAGTCCTGTGCCTGTCCACCATCCGTGTCGTCCGGCCTGTTTCGCGTGCTCGACGACCACTGCTATATTGATCAATGCCGTACGGCCCGGTGCAAGCGAGCCATGAACCCTGAACCAACTTCCAGAACAGAGATGTCTACCGAGTTGGCAAGTGGGACAGCGAGACCCGGCTTGGACGGTGAATAATCATTTGTCAACCCTCACTCATCTGTTTTCGCCTATTCAACCGCCAAGTTTTTCAACCGAATTTTATTAAGATATCCACTTCCATATTGTGCACCAAAGGCTCTCATATCCACTCTCCCCTAGAAACCTGGCTTTGTCAGGCTTTTGAAATCCGTCTTCTTCGCGCTAGAAGCGGCTGGCGCTTTCACGGGGTCCACTGAACCCAAAGTTCGGTTGCCAATGATAAGGCAATGTCGCCGCTGGTTGTCTTCGCCTACCCACCTCATCGGTTCACCTGTGCAATAATGGCATCTACAACGATCAGATAACAGCAAATGAGGAAACGATCGTCATCGGGAGGCGGTCCACTGAAACGAGAATATTCTTCGACATACAGACTCAGGCGACATTTTCGAGTAATTGAGGGACCTGGGTAGTGGGACTTGCGAGTACATCGGAGGGATTTGGTACGGAGCTAGCGGAAGAGAGCCAAATTGGCTACTCTTATGACATGATCGGGTTCATTTTCCTGAGGAGCTAGCAAGTTATTGACTAAGTGGAAACGAAGAAGGCAACTTGGTGCGTGCCAACAAAAAGCGTTTTTCCGGGACCTTCGCGGACCCTATGGAAATATAAAGGGACCTGCCCGTTTCACCATGACTGGATGAGAATCTCTATCCTCACCCAAAATCATTCTCACCATGAAATCCTTCCTGCTTGCAGGCCTCCTTGCCACTGGCTCTGCTCTTGGGGCCGTGGCCTCTCCCCGTGTCCACGCATCGCCGAAGGGTAGTTCGTATGACTACATCATCGTGGGTGGTGGACCGTCTGGTATCATTACTGCTGAACGCTTGATCGAGGCCAACAAGACCGTGTTGCTCTTGGAGAGAGGTTATGGACCTACCGTGGCCACTGGATCCAACGAAACCCTCGTCTGGAACAAAACCTTGACTGCGGTTGACCTGCCTGGACTGTCTGCCGACATTGGTGCCCTGCCTCAGTGGGAGGAATACCTCTGCTCTGATGTCGCCGGTTATGCCGGGTGTGTGCTGGGTGGTGGTGTGACCTTGAACTACATGGTCTTCGTTCACCCGCCGGACCGTGACTTTAACGATAAGTGGCCCAAGGGATGGAAATGGGACGACGTGAAGCCTGCTGCAGACAGGCTCTATGAGCGCAACCCCGGAACCATCTTGCCCTCCGCCGATGGCAAGCGCTACGACCAGGGTCTCTACACCGTCCTCTCCAACTTCTTCAACAAGATCGGCTGGAAGTCCGTTGACATGATTGCCGAGCCCAACGAGAAGCACGAGGTCTACAGCTACCCTGCCTGGAACATCAAGGACCAGATGCGTGCTGGTCCCGTCCGCACCTACCTGCCCTTGGCTGAGAAGAGCAAGAACTTCAACCTCCGTCTCGGCACCAAGGTGCTTCGCCTCCTGCGCGCCGGCAGCCAAGTGACTGGTGTGGAGGTCGAGAACTCTTTCGGCCGCCGGGAGAACATCACTCTGGGCCACAACGGAAGAGTCGTCCTCTCTGCCGGTGCTCTCTCCACTCCTCGTATCCTCTTCAACTCCGGCATCGGACCCAGCTCTCAGATTGAGATCGCCCAGCAGAGCGGCGTGATCGTCCCCCCCAAGAAGGACTGGATCAACCTTCCCGTCGGTATCGGTGCTAAGGACCACCCTATCTTCTCTATCATCTTGAAGACCAACGGCACCAGCTATGGCCTTCCCGACTACGACGCCATCGTGAACGGCTCCGATGTCTCTGACATCAGCCTTTACGCCCAGGGCAGCGGTCTCCTCACCCAAGGAAAGCACCGTATGATCTTCTTCACCTCCAACGTCGTCGACGGCCAGACGCGCTACTACCAGGGCTCCTGTGCTCCCTCCGGCACCAACGAGGTCACCATCACCGCCTACATGACCCACGGTCTCACCTCTTCCGGTGTGCTCGGCCTGGACACTGATGGCTCCACCGTCTGGGACAAGTCTCCCTACCTCACGACTGCCGGTGATCGCGCTGCCGCCACTGCTTTCCTCCAGCAGATCGTCGGAGAATTGACCGCCCCCTCTACCGGATTCCAGCTGGAGACTTACACCAACGTCTCCGCCATCCTCGGCAGCGTCAGCCCTGGTATGCACTACACCACCTCGGCCAAGATTGGCACGGACGATGGCCGCTACAACAACGGCACCTCGGTCGTTGACCTCAACACCAAGGTCTATGGTACTGACAACCTGGTATGTACATCCCCATCCACACTGCTGCCCTGTTGCTCATTGAGATTTCGCTTTTGCTGACTTTTATCTTGTACAGTTCATCGTCGATGGCAGTATCCACCCTGACCTTCCTACCGGTAACATCCAGGCTACTATCATGGTTGTTGCCGAGGCTGCTGTTGCTAAGATCCTTGCTCTGCACTGATTTTGCCATCGCTACCATGTTTCATAGAGCCTAGCTCCTGCGAGCTGTGGCATGAATTCTTCCATTGTATAACTAAGTTCATGAGATAGAATAACCTTAATGTTGATCGATAATGATGATGATCAGTCAATGGAGCTTTGTCATTTCTGTATACTTTCTTTCCCTACTTACGACTAATCGTGACTAAATTAATAGCGTGTAGCGTAGGAAAGATAGACAGTAGCCGGTTTGCCCTTCAATTGCCTCTGTAAATGGTGGAGAAGTTAAGTAGTGAGATGAGGGGAATTCATCCAACGTGAGGGTCAGAAATAGGAGTTAGTGTTTTGTTTGTAGCGTCGCCTACTCCGCTTGTTGTGCAGGAAAGAAAGAAGTCATTTTCTTTCTCTGAGGCTCAACCGAATCATTGCATACTAAAGATGAGAAGAAAAAGGACTTTAAAATCTTGCTGGCCTCGAACCACAGAGGCTACCAAGGGACCTCTACTATATGTAAATAAGACAAACCTCTAATGGAGTTGACTGTGTTGCAGGTGTTATGGGCCAGTAGTCATGGTCATTTATCAGTAAAGAGTACGTACAAGTCTAGCTGCAGAAAGGTTGGTCGATATAACATCAACCATTGCAACTACATACATTACAACTACCATGGGAAAATCCAACTCAGAAAGAACATTATTTCTGGAACTTGAACTGCCTTATACCAACAAGCACCTCTGCGCCAGGGGATGATAGTAAGATCCATCCATCAAATGCCACCCAAACATATAATCTTCAAGCAAAATAGCAACAGAGATAGAGAGAAAAAGAGGAAAAAGAGAAGAAATTCGGCCCACATGGTGTGATATCATACAGAAATTTGAAGCATTCCCATCAGGTGTGTTGATTGTGAAACTTTTTTGTTTGAGGACTTCATTCGAATTTACTCCTCACCCTTCTTCTTCTTCTTCTTTTTCTTCTCAGAGTTGTCGACTTCGCCGTCGTCTGACCGCTTGCGCTTCTTCTCCTCACCCTTGGCCGACTTCTTGGACTCCTTCTTGGCCTTCTTGATGTCCTTCTTGCTGACCGCGCTGGGGTTGCCCTCAGCGTCGAACTGGATTTCTCCACGCTCAAGCTTGCGCTTGTACCGCTTGAGGCTCAGACCGGCCTTCTCGGCCATCTTCTCGAGCTCAGAGTCCTTGCTCTTCTTGGACTTCTTGTCGGTCTCCTCGTCGGACGAGTCAGACTCCTCGTCGGAGTCAGCATCGGCCATCTCCTCGTCCTGAACCTCCTCTACGAGCTTCTTGCTCTTGCTCTTCTTAGCGGAAGCGGGCTCGTCGCCCGTAACAGCATCAGCATCGGCGTTGTATTTGCGGGCTTCGTTGATCTCGAACTTCTGGGCCTGAGGAGCGCCGTTGGGGGCAATGGCGGTACCACGAGGCTTGAGGGGCTTGCCCTCCATGGCGGCAAGCTTACGCTCGAGGTTGTAGCGGGCTTCCGTACCGAGAGCAGCCTTGTCCTCCTCGGTGGCATCGTCGTCCCACTCAGCGAGAGCATCCACACGCAGACCAAGGGAAGCCTTGGCAGCCAGAACTCTGGCCATCTTACCCTTGTTCTTGCCGGTGGCCTGGCCGATCAGGGAAGCGTGGTAGATCAGACCGTACTTGGGAGTGTCGTGCTTAGTCTTAAGAGCACGGAACAGGGCCTTCTCGGCACCCAGAATCTGGATAGTACTGGCAGGGCTCTTGGACAGGTTGGTCAAGCTACCAGCGTGGGCGATAAGACGGGCACCGACCAGATCACCGACGAGGGCAGTCAGGTTGGGGGCGATGGCGTTCATACGGGCGGTAAGGTAGCCAGCCAGTTGTTGACGGTACTCAGCGAAGCCAACGACCTGCTCGGCCAGAGCTTGAATGTGTTCCAGATCCTCCTGGCTGATCTCGGTACCCATGGAGCGGTCCGCAGCAGCCTTGACGGCACCCTCAATCTCCTCGGGGAGGATCTCAGCGAGATCGGAAGACTCCCAGTTGGTGCGCATGCCCATCTTGAGGACGAGTCTGGCGTAGGCGATGTTGTCGTTCAGGATCTTCGCCAGCTCAGGGAAGTGCCATCCGTACCATTCCTTCACACGCATGGCGTAGTTGTTGAGCTCCTTGTCCAGGTCGTCAAGCAGACCAATGGCCTGCACAATCATGGTGTCGATCTTGTCGGGGGAGAACTTGAGCTTGTGTCTAGCGAGAGAGTGCGACAGACCAAGGGACATGGTGGACATGTCCTGAGGGAGAAGGCCGGGGATGAGGGTGGGCAGGTGTTCACGAATGGCACGGAAGACATCGGTGGTGGAAGAGTCGGCCACCAGCTCGATGGAGAGACCGGGGAGCTTGCCAATGGCATTGCCTATATCAATTCCAGTCAGTCACACGAAAATTTTATCCTCAATTTCCCGCACAAGTTTGCGCCACATACCGAGCTTGGGGTCGGCGACAGCCAGAGAAACCTTCTTCTCATCCTTGACTTCGTCCAAAAGGCTGGCCAGGCGAGGAGTGACCTTTCCTTCGACGAGGGAAGCAACCTCCTCCAGGGCGGTAGCAGCGCTGTCGAACTTCTGGAAGCTCTTCAACTTCAGACTACAATTGCGGCGGTTAGCCGGGGTCCAGACGCGGTGGGGGAAAATTTTTGCTTTTGAGACACCACGCGCAGATAATGGACAATCGGGGGTGAATAAAGTAAACGATGCATGAGAATGCACTTACAGGTTAGAAACACCCTCTGCGGTGGAAGCCTCAGTAGCCAGATCATCTCTCTTCAACAGCTTCTTGTCCTTGGCCTTGAGCAGGGCATAGCCCGCACTGGTTTCCGTAAGGATAAAGAGCGTCATGGTGCACGGCCTCGACTTCTAGCTGCAATAAAAAAGACAGAGGAACAGCTAGAGGTGAGAAGGGAAAAGAAAAGGCCGGGGGGTGGGAGGGAATTGGCGTGCTGGACGGGATGGACTGAAATCCGCTGGGAATATTTTTTAACCTCAAGAAACTAAAAAGTGAAAAAAGCGAAAAGCGCCATCCGAGTGTGGCTGGTGGTGCCGCCGCCGTGGCTGGTGCAGTGCTCAGATTATGTAAGCCCCACGGGATGCCGATGCGTCGACGAGTGGTCGTCAGTCTATCAACTGCGGAGAGCTTGTAAGTGGACATCTGGACTTCTGCCCATCTGCTAGCCCACCATGGAGGGTCTTTTTTTCAACGTCAACAGCGGGTATGTCTGTTTCACTGTTGCATTTTGTATTTCTTTCCCTTCAGGTCGCTGATTGAACGTTCCCAGTTATATCGAGGGTATTGTCCGTGGTTATCGGAACAGCCTCCTAACCGGCCAACACTACTCCAACCTGACCCAATGCGAGACGATTGATGGTCCGTTGATCTGCACCTGCTCTCTTACTCCCTTGATAATTCTAACATTACGTTGCTTCTATCAGATGTCAAACTGCAGCTTGCCCCCGCCTATGGCGACTTCCTCGCCTCCCTCCCTCCCAACCCTTCTACCTCTGCCCTTGCGGGCAAGATGACGGATAAGCTGGTCGCTGAGTTCCGCTACCTCCTCGCGCAGGCCACGGGGTCGACCGCCAAATTCTTGCAATACCTTACGTACGGGTACATGATCGACAACATCGCACTGCTCATCACCGGTACTCTGCACGAACGTGACACTCGCGAGCTCCTCGAGCGATGCCACCCCCTAGGCTGGTTCGAGACGCTGCCTGTTCTTTGCGTCGCCACGAACATCGAAGAACTCTACAACTCTGTGCTGGTTGAGACGCCGCTGGCCGGTTACTTCAAGAGCAGTCTGAGCCATCAGGACCTGGATGAACTGAACATTGAAATCGTGCGCAACACGCTCTATAAGAACTACTTGGAGGACTTCCACCAGTTCGTCACCACACACCCTGATTTCAAGGGCACTCCCACGCAAGAGGTCATGTCCGAGATCCTGCAGTTCGAGGCAGACCGTCGTGCCATCAACATCACTCTGAACTCGTTTGGAACGGAGCTGTCGAAGCAAGAGCGGAAGAAGCTGTACCCGGAGTTTGGCAAGCTGTATCCAGAGGGATCGCTGATGCTTTCGCGCGCTGATGATATTGAATCCGTGGCTCTGGCCGTGAGCATTTCTGCGGACTACAAGGCGTTCTTTGATGCTGTTGGTCTCACGCAGGGTGGTGGTGGCCTAGGTGGCATGGGTGGCTCGGATGGAAAGAGTCTGGAGGACCTGTTCTACCAGAAGGAGATGGAGCTGAGCAAGGTTGTGTTCACACGGCAGTTCACCCCGGCCGTGGTGTACGCATGGATGAGACTGAAGGAGCAGGTGAGTTACCGTTTCTCACAAGAACAATCTAACATCTACTAACAATGGATCGCAGGAAATCCGTAACGTCACATGGATTGCCGAGTGCATTGCCCAAAACCAGAAGGAGAGAATTGGAAACTTCATTTCCGTTTTCTAGATACCATCTCTTTGTTGTTACCCCATCATTGTCCTTTCTCTCTTGAACTATCCGCCAAAATATGTACTCTTTTCCCCGCACCCGTTGCACGTGTGACTTTAGGGCGCCTTTGTTTCCTCCCATATCCGCTGTGTCTAGTTAGTACCCAGTCCCTGTAATGAGCGCATAAATCCGCCCAGCATGTCCATGCTAGTTGTTTTGGCTCTTCGATCTTTTCTATCCTTGACCCCACGGCGTTTTGGGATTTTCGCTTCTTGTGATATAGTATATAGATAACGCCGACATTATCTACCCTGAGATTGTGGTTGTTATTGTTGTGGTATTATGAGTAGAATAAGAACAGACGACATTGATGCTAGAGTAGCCAGCATTTCTCGAATGTATTTGTTCATGGACATGGACATGTGCTAAGCTCTGAGCCAATCTGTCTACAGAAGTTATCCAGACAGTCGCGATCCAAAGTGGAAAACCCAAAATTAAGGGCGACACACAAGGTGTCAGAATAACGAGGCCCCGAGATTCTCATACAGCATTAAACGTGTGAAACATGAGCGAAGTCATGAGAAGATGGATCCAGGGAGTCATAACTGTGCATTGGGAACACATTGAGCGTGTCTTTATCCGTTCCTCTCAGGCTCCGTTGAGTAGGTTTCAGAAAAAGTGATAGATGGTATGCGATGGTATGCTTATGGAAACCAAAGTAGTATAGCAAATGTCAAAGACAATATAAAGAAAATTCATCAAGATATAACCTCAATTCGTCACTCCTTTTTTCAAAAGGTGTCATCTATCCCTGCCATGGGAAAGAAAAGTCGCATGCAATAAAATCAATGATTTGGTTGGTTAGTCGTACTGGAAAAGAGTACTGATACTCTCACCGTGGTGGACACGGCGGATAGCCTACAGTTCGTTAGCTATGCTTCAGGGGCTGGAGCTCCGACGAACTTACCTCAGCGAAAACGTGACCGACTTCCAAAACCTCCAACTTGGGGCATCTGCGCAAGTGGTCTGCCTGGTCAACGCTGTTTGTAACAACCACCTTATCGAGAGCGCTAGCATTGATCCGATCAATGGCATCTCCACTCAAGATTCCGTGGGTGACCAGAGCATAAACCTGTGCAGCTCCTTCCTTCTTGAGGAGCTTCGCCGCTCGGGTAATGGTGTTTGACGTGTCCGCCAGGTCGTCAATCAAGATCGCCGTCCGATCCTTAACATCTCCCACCAGCATCATGGTAGCGTTCTGTCGATCCGTTATACGGGTAGGACGACGTTCCTGAAAGTGGTTAGTATCTCCATGTAAAGAAGTCAGCAGGCCGAATACTAACCTTGTGGATAAGGGCGAATTCAACACCCATGCCATCGGCAATCGCCGTAGCACGCTTCGCGCCACCAGCATCGGGACTGACGATCACGGCCTGCTTGTAGTTGGGGATGTTCCGCTGGATGTAGCTCTTGAGGAGTGGGCGGCCGTACAGGTTGTCAACCGGAATGTCGAAGAATCCCTGGTACTGAGGGTCATGGAGATCCATGGTGATAATGTGGTCTGCACCAGCGCAGGTGAGCAGGTCCGCGACCAAGGTACCGGCCTGAGCCACCCACTGCTTGTAGCCGGGGCGGGGTTGGAAGTTGTTGATCTTCTCGTCGGCACCGTTGAGTGCGAACCTGTTACCTTCAGACTGCAGGGACTCCATGGTATCGCTGCGGGGAAGACCATTGACCGGGCGTTGCTTCTTCACAGGGCTGCCATTGCTGATATCTTCCAATTGAGCCTTGGCCAGGCTCTTCTGCAGGTTATCGACGCCGTTCAGACCGTTCAGAAGACCTCCAGTTTCGGACTTCCCAGGAAGTGGGGTAGGCGGGGTACTTTCAAAGGTGTAGTTATTGCCTTGCCTCCCCGCAAGGGATGACTTGACCAAAGGAGCTCCGGTCTTGTTGTAGGGAATGTCACTCTGACGCGAGTACGGGAAAAGCGGGAGGACCGCAGTGACTCTCTTGGCGGAGGCGGTCTTGCAAGCCGAGATGGTAATCAGAAGCTCCATGAGGAGATCATTTACCTTTCCACCACCGGACTGAATGATATAGACATCCTTTCCGCGGACGGATTCCTTGATCTCCACTCGGGTCTCACCCACGGAGAATTTCGACAGCAGAACATCTGCCGGCGGGATGCCCAGCACGTTGCAGATGGTCTGAGTCAATTGCGGGTGGGAAGTGCCCCCGATAACAACGATGTTCCGGACCATATTGGACTGTTCTTCAGACTTGAAAGGCTGTGGGAAGCTGGGAGGATAGAGAGTCACAGGAGAGGATGACCGATTCGGAAGCGGGGACAAAGGAGGAAAATCTGGTAAAACGGCGGATCTGGAGGGGCGGGAGGAATGGTGAGATTAGCACGATAAAAGACGAGCTTGGAGATAGCAAAAGAAGAATAAGTAATCTCGTGGCGAGGACAGACAGGCAACTACCTCATGGCGGGGATTCAGGAACGGGGTCCAAGCGAATGTATGGGGAAGACATTGAAACGGAGAGATCGAAGTCGTGTGAGTCCGCCATAGAGACGACCGAAAAAAAAAATGCCTCTCCCGCGAGTGGAACCGGCGTTGCTGCAGCCTCGGGTGTCTGCCGTTATGAGCCTCAGGCTGCAACTTGCCCTATCGGGCTAGGAATGTCTGGTCGCCATCGACGCATTCAACGGCCCCGCAGCCACACTAAAAATGACCCGGACTTGTTCTCCAGCCTTGTCCTTCCTGGAACCTGGGGATGCTCAAGTAATAGTCGATCGAGGGAATGAAGGGGGTGATGCACACCACCATTCAAGCAGTCAACATTTGGTAGGTCGAGAAACAACGCAGTCGTTATTTTCCCTGTTTGCAAGAAAATTGAAAGATAGCAAAAAAAAGAAAAAAGAATTCAACTTTAGCCTTGTCCGTTACAGATGGCAGCTGGCGCATTACACCAAGATGAGTAGTCTCCATTTGCCGGTAGGTACATGGAAACTAAATATGATAGGAAAAAATATCCCAGAAGCAACAAGGAAACAGAAAAGGCTGGATTTCCATTCAGTCCTCCGTATTCCCATCGCTCAGGCCGAGATACCCAGATGTAGGCAACCCGGAAGCCTGGAGTCTCACATAACAACAGAAGCCGTTTATTGGCTTGTTCAAGCTACCTGTTGATTGTCTGGTCAGCAACACATCTCCTCATGAGGTGCTCCGAGCTCGGTATGTGATTGAGCTTCATTCGAAGGGTTGGGGGGGAATTTGCTCACAGATCTACTTGTTTGGGATGGCCATACTCACATGGTCACCGGATGAACAGCGGCAAGACTATCAAGCTAATTGTAAAAACTGGTAGTTAGCAAGTTTGTATGTTCATGTCAGTCGTAGTGTGTAAGTTGGTTGTTGAAATGCAGATGAAGACCGAGAGCAAGAGTTTGTAGTCTCTTCGTGGGCCAGCTGTCACTGTTCTGCTGAGCACTGTTTAATTTTGTTGCTACCCCTTAAAACCCCACTCTTTCTCATCAAAGACATCTCTGAAGCGGAGAGAGACTAACCTGTTTTTGACCCATGGAATGTGATCCCTGCTCATCTATACCAAGATTCTCATGTTTCACTTCTTTTGGAGGGCCGGCCATGGGACTCCAGCTCTTGTCACCAAAGCACTCCTCTGGGAGCCTGGTCCCGGAACGTTACAACGGCCACTGATAAGGCAACGAAGTTGGGCAATGCGTAGGACAAGCGTCTAAGATTAGGAGATGCAACAATAAACACGTGACGCCGTATCGCAGAGGCCCGACGATGGAGGTGAGACACCTAAGCCGTAAGGGGACTAGACTGAAGAACGCCGATATCCCGCGGAGAGAGAGTCCCGAAGCTACATGCCAGACATTATGGCTTCAATGTTTGGAAACTTCTGCGTGTCTCTCAATTAGCGCGCATCAATGGGATATTTCTACCAGAATTGAACATCAATATCGCCTCAAATGCCGAGTCGCCTTATTTTACGGCGTCCGTCTCCGACGACCGTCTCCTTCACGGTTTCCAATGCCTCCAGACGCACGAGCACGCCAGCAAAGGCCTTCTTCTACCTACAAATTTTGTTGCGCGCAGTCATCTTTTTCTGCGTGTTCCTCCTTGATGCTGCGAAGTTCCGCCGTACATTTTTTATGGAAGATGGCTCATGGATACGTTGGACAACAATCTGGTCGAGTGCGCTGGGGATATCCGTCTGTCGCATCGCGGATGCGTACAGCTCTGCGGTGGTAGTTTTGGCCAGCGCAATAGTTTTCTACGGTGTTTTCAGGAAGGGATACACAGGTTCGCCCAGACAATCTCCAGAGACAGGGATAGATTTGATACTGACTGCGCTTTGCTCCAAAACAGAAGAGTCGCTCCTGGTTATACGCGGTCTCGGTATTCAGACGTCTACCTCCTCCCAGACCTACCTGTCAAAGGCTTCGACGAGGTTCATACCCACTACACAGATTCAGGATATCGTGATACATGAAGCTTTCAAGGGATTTGAGGTTAGGTTCTACCTTGCAGTAATCGTTGAAGGTGAAAGCGAAGTGGTTGTGGTGTTTCCGGTGAGTACCTACCCGTAGGACCTGCCATGTCGGTTTTCTAATGCGAGCCAGAAATTGTTACCAAATCGGCAAATACTAGAGGAGGTCTGGAGGGGTTCACGGAGCTGTTTGTATGATTCGAAGTCTTAATGGAGCCCAGCTTCACGTCTTGAGAGGAATCAATAACTTTCTGCTTGAGAGGTGGGCCATCTTGCACATATATTCGAGAAGTGAGTATATACAATCTTCTGTCTACTGTTCCATTTTGGTGGCCTTTGCGCCATTCTCCATCTTGCGCTGCTTTGCCGCCAGCCACCTCGCATTCTGGACTTCCACGAGCTCCGTCTTTCGCTTCTGCATGACTGGAACATAGTACCCGCCGGTTCTGGCTTCATTAGACCCCACAAAGATTTTCTTACCCCGGTTCTTTCTCTCCCAGATTGGCTCGACTCCATCACCAATGGTAAGACTCTTGTCGCCCTGACTGACGGCCAAGTCTAGTAATGCGCCAGCCAAGATTTCCTCCATCTTGCGCTGCCTCCAAACGGACCAGAGCTCCTCTACGATTCCTCCAAGACCAAACTTTCCACCCCCCTTGCCGAGGTGAGACTTGATCTGTCGAACGTCGCCCGCATAAACCCAATCCAAGCTATCAGCACGGCTGCCGCTCTTCTTATCGGGGTAGATGCAGTCCCAAAGCACCAAGGGGGCATCGGAAGCCATTTCATAGGTTGGCTTTCGCGGGTTCTTAGTCACGTCAAGGAGATCCTGTACGATGGAGGGTTCCTCGAGCCCCTGACCGACAAGAAAAAGGACATTGACCATGTGTCGGACCTGATGCCACAGGAAAGCAGAACCCTCCAGATGGAAGACATATACCTGCGCTGCTGTTGGCAGAGGTGCCGCTGAAGACTCTGCGATTTCATCCGCACCCGAGGCTGGTCTAGCCTGGAATTCTGGCTGAGTCACATAGCCCAGGGGGTTGGTGCGAGCATCGAGAAGCTCAATGTCAGCACGGAAGATGTCTCGGTAGAAAGACTCGATCTGTTTCGTCACGTCCAATTTACAGAAGTTCCGGAAGTCGTGTGTACCTTCGAAATATTTTGCAGCTTTGCGCATCGCTTCAATGTCCAACCAACCCTCTCTCAGCTTCGGAGGCTTGCCTGATCCATCTCGCGGCACAAAGCCCGAAGCACCCGGCGTAGGAGAAAAGGCCGGCTGCGTGAAGAAATACTTGTAATGGCGCTCCCCGCAAGAAAAGCGGGCATCGAACCCCTCGGGAGGACGTGGGCACCATGCCAATACACGAATATCTTCAGGAAGCACCTTGTTCAACATGCTCACGTAGGGTAGCTCATCTTTAACGTCATCCCAGCCATCGTCGGCCGACGCATTGGCCTCGTCCGTATTCTGCATGGTGGTATCGGCATTCTCGTCCGACTGAACGACCTCGTTGCGCTTCGGTCGTGCACTCCGCACTCTAATTCCAATCACCTGCCCAAAGGCACTGACACCCCGATCCGTACGCCCAGCTTTGGAATATTCACATCCATCCCAATTGATATAGTACGGCTTGGTCTCTCTCGGCGCATAGCTCTCCACAAACTCATCACCAGTTGTATCGGTCGGGAAAATCAACCGGGTCTTCCGTAAAGCCTTGTACATCTCCTCCTCAATCGTAGGTAGCGGCGTGGCATTCCCGTTTGCATGCTCAAGCCCGTTGTACCGCTGTCCAAGATAGGCGAACTTCAACGCGATGAACCGTGTATTATATCTCGAGGGATCGATCTCCCTGCGCGGTTTCGGGGGCTTTGGCGGCTTCACCTGTTTCTTCTTCTCCGCTCCCGCTGCAGGAGATGAAGGCTCCTTCTGGTTCACTTTCCCATCACTAGGTGCACTCTTGGCTGCGTCTTTGGCCGCGTCCTCGGGCTGCTTCGCAGGGGGTGTAGCATACTCCGCGGTGCGGGAGTGTAACTGGCGTTCTAATTCAGTGATTCGGGCGACGAGCCTCGAAGTAGTCCATGTCGAGTAGTCGGCTTCGTTGGTAGGGACTTGTTGGTCCTCGGCCATGTTCCCGGACATGGTACTTGTAGGTTGGGAATCGACTTGGGCGTGCGAGCGGGACAGGGATCGGAATGTGCGCCTCGTTGTTGAGGGTGTACGCTGTGCTGGTGTGCGACTCAAGAAAGAACAAAGGTTTCCTTGGAACCTTCGCATCCCTATGAGCACGTTGTGTGTGTGTCCCACCCTGCTGGGTTGCCGCGGAGGGGAGATTTTTGCGGCAAAAATTTAGACTTCTGATAGTACTATTGGTGGTGATTGTGTAATGGAAGCGTATGGTATTGTTACATGAGTGGTCGTGGCAAGCTTTATTGGGTATCTTTTGTATTGCATGGTAAGGTGGCAGGTAGCATGGCTTTCATGTTTTTGTTATCCGTTATTTGCATAGTAGTAACAAGTCGATCTCTCTGGTTTTATCTGAAACGTCTTCTTTCCAGAGGAGATTCGAGGGGTCTTGGTTGGAAAGGCTGGAGCTAAAGCACATGGCTGCAGTTAGGTTCCGCTTTATATCCGCAGATTATCATGAACGTTGCATACTCAATCGAACCCTGCTTTTATACCATTAAGCGTACTATGCGACACACTAGATGTCTGTGAATCGACGCCAATATATATCTCCTTGTCTGATATAAAGTCCAGAGTGTATCAGAAAATCGCATCCAATGGCAGGAAACAACCTCCCACAGGATGAACAGACAGTGACTATTCTGCTCCTCGGAGACCAGGGATGTGGTAAAACAACATTTCTATCGTAAGTGCAACAGCCTTGTAGCATGCGCTGCCTATTCCTCATAGTACTTTCATTTACTAACAATCTATCAGGAGCTTGAAGTCCAATCTTCATAGACACCAAGGACAGACACCTAGTCAAGGGAATATTGAGGAAACCCTTCTACGGGACAGTGACCAGCCATTTATCTACGAAATCCGCTTCTCAAAGAAGTCATTCAAACTTGAAGTATATGACACCGCAAGTCCCAACCAACATTGGTCTACCTTGCAGCCTGATGTTATACTTCTGGCATTTGATATCTCGAATAGAGATACCTTGAATAATCTTCGCAATGTAGGACATACTCCATGTTTTACATGTTGTCGTGCCTATCAATACCGACTTACATGCTATAGTGGCGAAATGATATCACTAGGTACTTCCAGAATGGCTATGGTGAACGCATACCCATTATGTTGATTGGGTTGAAGAGAGATCTTAGGGTGGAATGTGAGGGGATTATATATCCTCAAGAGGTGAGTAGATCCTCCCAATCATCGGGATCGATTGTTCAAGTCTATCTGTGCTGTACGCAGGATCCGAGCTGACTGATATCATGTATAGTCGTATCGGATTGCGCAGGAACTCCGATGTGATCGGTATGCGGAGTGCTCTGCTGTCACTGGGGAACTCTTACGAGAGACGTTTGAAGATATTGCGCGGCTTGCTGGAATGACGACTACGGCGGCTGGAGGCCAAACTGCTGGCGCTTGTGTTATTCTTTAGTATATTTGATACCCTTATTGAGATTGTGGATCAATCGTGTTTAGATATGTGATAGGTTTAGTCGATTTAGTTGGCTTAGAATAATGGTATATAATGCCTAACCGTTCCTATCGTCTTGGTTGATACGTGACGACATCGGCACCACGGGTATCAGCATGGGCTTCTACGCATTCTTTCTGACCTACGTCTACTGTTGACTACTAGAGACCACACTTATACATGGAGAACAATGGTAGCTAGCATCACTTTTCGATTACGGCTATGATAAACATACAGGGAGAAACCAAGGTAACGATTAAGTCCACCTTGTGAAATTGACAGCACAGGGCTTTCCCCCAGAAGCTCACTGAGGCAAGAGAACAACTGGATATCTTTCCCTCATAAGCGCCAGTCAATCATTGACAATGCAATTCCTCCCCGATGCACCATAAGCGGAACGTGAAAACGGACTGCAGAAGGAGACTTCGCTGTAGCATACCACGAAAGAAGAAGTAGGAAGATGATGTTTTGAAGTAGTGAAGCTCCCGTTGATTCTTTTCCTCTTTTTTCTTCTTTGTCTTTTTTTGGAATACCTGAACTGAAACTAGGATAGACACGACAAGGGATTTTTTGTTCTTTCATTGCAAGGAACCGCCGGAACGACGTTCCTTGATGATTAAGGGGTCCTCGTCACCCTCAACCAATCGCCATTGTTTCGTCAATCCTCGTTGCGAAGTCCAGATGTTTACCACTTAGCCTCGGTGGGCTGGGCCTCAGCCCAGCTCTCACCAGCAGGAGCGGCAGAGCTGGCAGCCCAGTCGCCACCCTCAGCCTCCCAGCTGGCAGCACCAGCAGCAGCGCTAGCAGCAGCGAAAGCAGTGCCAGGAACACCGGCACCGGCACCGGCAACATCCCAGTTGTCACCAGCGAAGCCGGACTCGATGGCACCAGCACCGACCTCCTCAGCGCTGGCAACCTTCTCCTCGACGACCTCCTTGTTCTCCTCAGCCTCGGGGTCACGGTAGAAGTACAGGTCGACAACGACGTCCCAGTCAACCTCACGGGAAGCGAGGGTACCACGGAGGCGGAGGACCTCACGGGCAAGGAGCCACCAGACGAGACCGATGGCGTGGCGACCCTTGTTGTTGGTGGGGATGGCAACGTCGACGAAGTCGGTGGGGGAGTCAGTGTCGCAAAGGGCAATGACGGGGATGTTGACGTAGCTGGCCTCCTTGATGGCCTGGGCGTCGGTGCGAGGGTCGGTGACGATGATCAGGCGGGGCTCCTTGAAAGAGCGGGTGATGTAGTTGGTGAAGTTACCGGGGGTGAAACGACCAGCAATGGCGGTAGCACCGGTGTGGGAGGCGAACTTCAGGACAGCACGCTGGCCGTAGGGACGAGCGGAGATGACACAGATGTCGGCCGGGTTGTCGATGGCGGCGATGATACGGGCAGCGAGGAGGATCTTCTCCCTATAAGTTCGCGCGGCGTTAGGCAAAGATTCTAGAGAACATGCGCACATTAGATTGCCTGATAAACATACCAGGTCTTGCCAATGTTGATGACATTGACACCGTCGGGGCGAGTCTTCCAGAGGTAAGGCTCCATGTGAGACTGGAGGTTCTTGGACCCGAGGTGGCACTGAGCTGCGAGGAGCATCTCAATGTCCTGGGAGGTGGGGTTGAAGATCGGGGGGAGCTGAGAGGGGGCCATGGTGGGCGATTGATATTGCAAAGATCGATTTGAGTATATCAATCGTCTGGCACTTGTCGTGGTGGTGGTGACGGGGAGACGAACGCGAAGCTGAACTTTTGGCACCGCGCTTGAGATGGTCGATGAATTTCGCTTGCCCTTTGTGAATTTTAGGGCTAGGGTTACCTTGGAAGAGCCTCCGATCCGCCCGGGATATCACGTGCAACTCCAGGTCCCGATGCGGACTAGCGCAATTCGGGGCCTCGAGATTTTGGAGACTTCCAATCTGAGTCCGCGGCCTTTGATGCGAAGGCGCCCGGAAGTGCTATTTGTTAATCGTTGCTGTCACTCCCTCCCCAGCTCGTGAGAATGCCTCCCCGCATTCTACTTCAGCCCTCCCTGAGGGCCCTCACTGGTAAGTACTGTCTTGCTGCCTCCCCCTTCTGATTCACGCCGAGTAACTGACCGGGTTGTCGTCATTCCAGGCCCTTCCTCCGTGCAGCTTCCCTTTGCCGCATTGTCGCTCAACCCGGCCAAAACCTCCGTGAGAGCTGGGTCTACAGAGTCCCGAGAGCGCAGACGCCATGACCCTTTCCTAATGGCGCAGTCTCGCCAACGCAAGGCCGCCAACATCTCTCGCCAGAAAGCCCTGGCCAAAGAGCGCGAAGGGTCTGTCGGCGACCCCGTCCAAAGTGAACCGACGCCCTTCATCCAGGAACTTAGAAAGACGCAAGCGACTTTGCAGGACACAGACCTCAATTACTTCGTCACACCGGATGGTCTCAATGAGGCCTTGGAATACTCGAAGAACCTGACATCACCGATTCGGAACCCGGATCGCGACACTGCTGATCCTCAGCTCGAGAAAGAAGCCGCCGAAAAGCACCTTCAAGAACATCGGAATGCACAGGAAGCCATCCGTCGTATTGTCAGTGTCGCCAACGGAAACACAAAGGACCACATGCGTCTTCATATTCAGAAATGCATTGAGACCTTTGGCCGGCATAAGACCGACAGCGAATTGCCTCTCAAGCCTTCTGGCGTATCGCATGACTCTGCGACTGTTCATCTTGAAAAAACTCCCCGGGTTGGCCCGGATACTGGCTCTCCGGAAGTGCAGGTTGCTATTCTCACGGCAAAGATCATGAACTTGTCTAGACATCTCCAGACGACGAAAAAGGACCGACACAACAAGCGTAACCTGCGTCTACTTGTTCACAAGAGACAGAAGTTGCTTCGCTACTTGCGGAGGAAGGAGAGAGGTGGCCCCAGGTGGCAGAATCTGATGGAGAAGCTGGGTCTCTCGGAAGCTGCCTGGAAGGGTGAGATCTCCATGTAAATTAGCTCTTTGGCGCTTGTATTCTACATATTTTCTTTTCTTTGTATTTCCCCTGCTTAAGCTTAATCTCAGCGTGTAACCTTATGTATCGATCAATGGGCCCTTCCTATTTCATAGTGTGTATGACAAAGAACCTGTGGGTACTTCATGCCCATTGTTCATACTTCACCACTTCTGTGTTGTGATGCGCTGTAAAAAGGTCTGTTGTATGGCTTTTGTGATCCTTCTTGCGCCAAACCCTGAAGTGCCTCATTGGCATTTTTCACTCGTTTATTATAGATCTTATCGTTCCCATTCAGATGATACAAGTAGTTGTAGGAGTAGCAGGGTGTTACTACAGCCTACTAGTAGTACTGAGTACTCTTGAAGTTGGCCAAGGGCGGCAACAGCAGTCATTGGGCGAAATCCCCACCGCCTGGTGTTCTGCCGAGACGTCACCCCCCGAGTCGCAAAAATCCCGCGCAAAAGTTCCCCCAAACTTCATCTTACTATACGACGACCTTGCTCGCCGAGGTCAGTGAATATCGTCGACTGCCTCCGGGCGCTGATTTGACGCGTCATAATCAACATTACCCAGCAACCGAGGTAACATTCACTGTAAGCCAGTGTTATGTCTTTCAACGAGTCAGTATAGTTTTTATCAACCTGCCTCTTCCCCCCTCTCACTCTCTTCTCCTTCATAATTCCCATCCCTCCGTATCTTCGTCGATATCGCACTTGCGCTACCGATTTACATTGCTTTGATCTCTCATTTGCACGATTCTTTATCCCACCGGATTATCTTCTCTCGCAGGTGCTAACTTGCCTTACAAGTTAGATTCAACTCTCCTCCATAACGTCCCTTTGCTCCGCGTTCTTCAAGATCTCAAATCGCGACTAAGCGAGACGATCTTTCTTCTCATACCTTCCGATCAAGGTACCGCGTCGCCTCAAGATTACAGCAACCTATAGGGTAGCTGAATTGCCTTTTGTCAACCTGTCCTCACGCCTTTTTGTAAAGGTTTCTTACATTACGTTCCTGTCTTACCTCTTCTCATTACCCGCACCCTTCTAGTCACTCAGTTTGTTGGTGGCTTTGTCTCAGATTGCTGGATTTCACCAGCCTGAATTGAACACCTTTTGCTTTCACCTTCATCACAGTCAAGATGCGTACTCGTTCACAGCAAGCTTCGCCCGGTGGCTTCGTGTCACTCGAGGAAAATGCCCCACGTCGGACCAGGTCTGCGAGGAATGCTGCGCACCAGGAACCTGCAACGTCAGAGCAACCCCCGACCCGTGCAAAGTCTCAGCGCGCACCTAAGAAGACGAATACCACTACCACAAAAAAGCCCACAACCAAGACCCAGACACGGAAAGCTACTACAACGAAGCGCACGACGCGCCAGTCGACACGCAAAACCGACAACCCCATTTCAGACGAAGATACCCAGCCCACCCATACAGAGGAAGATCTCGCCACAGATACTACGGCTGCAGAGATGACTACCCCCAGGGAGGACCCGGAAATTGTCGATCCAACACCCGCAGCATCTGAGAACGAAAACGCTGATTGTGAGTACATTCCCTGTGTTTCTCACCCCCCTATGGTCCCCCAATCCCCCAAGAAGTCCCAGGAGATCGATTGTTTTGATGGCCCGGATCCCCGGGGTATCAGGGCTGCCTCGTGTCTCGAATCCTTCATCGACGAGCTAAGTAGTGTCGGCTCGCCTCTCTCTGAGAGGTCGAAGACGCCATCCTGGACGTCGAAGGATGAGACCGAGGCAGCCCTGGCACCGCGTCCCGCGCAGGAGTCGGGCGCCACCAACTTTGAGACATCGGCAACCACAAAGAGAGTCTCACTCCCGACTCCTGCCGCGGAAGAGCGCACCTTTGAGCCACCTGCGGAACCAACCGTGGCGGAGCCAAGGGGAGTCACCGTCGTGACATCCCCTGAGCAGTTCAACACTGCCTCATTGGCTTCCGCTGCGGGCTCCGGAGGAGTGGTGGTCGTCGAGGACGAGCGGGTGGGCGCACTTATTGCGTCCTTTGCCAGATTGTCCTTGGATGATCTCGCGCCTCGCTCGTCCAATGAAGCGGCTGCCACTCTGAGGGAGTCGACTACCGCGTCGTTCGGAGAGCCTGTTGAGCCCGCCCGCGTCACTCGCCGAAGCCTTCGCGCTTCTCGACAAGAGTGGATTCGGGACTGGGCTCAACAGGTCCCTTCCACGGGCTTCTTTCATCCCATCACAGGGCAGCTCGTGGAAGGGCCGTCGGCGTCGGTTGAGTTGGCGGGGGATCTCGCGTCCAACCGTGAGCCCCCGACCCATTGGTTTGGGGTCCTGGACTACATCCTGCGAAGGCGACGCCGTGAGGTTCAAGTGATGTCGCCGCTGCAGGAAGAATCGCAGAGTAGTCCCGGCCCCGGCTCAGGGGTTGTTGCTCTCAACGCGGTGGCTCCCAGGGAAATCCGGGCCAAAAGGCCACAAAAGAACAAGGGGCTAACAAACCCGCCAGTGACCCGGAAGCGTGCCCGGGCAGATTCTAGCGACGAAGAGACCCAAGGCCCGCAGACGCCTGCCGCAAACAAGCGGCGTAACCTTGGCCCCCCCGGCAGCACGCCGTATCGACCCGCAACCCGGCCGCGCTCCCTTACTGCGAACATTACTCCGTATTCTGAGAGACTTCGGAGACGGCAAGCCGAAAGAGATGGCCGTATCCACTCCACCTCGCTTCGCGTATCTCAATTGCTGGCCCAGCAAGAAGCTGACCGGCGCCGGCAGGCAGCAGAGTCTTCTGCGCCCCCATGCTCTGAGCTGCCGCGTACCACCTTTGATTTCTCTCTTGATAATGCTCAGGAAACCAGTCATGATCAAGAGCAGTCGCAAAGCTTACAGGAACAGTCTTCTACGCCCGAGCCGCCGGCCACTCCGGAGCGCCAGAGTGGTTGGAACCTCCGTGGTCTGCTCAACTCCGTACCTCGCACCTTCACAAGGATCCTACCCTCTTTCAGGAGGACCCCCGAACCTACTCAAGTGCAAGGTATGTTCTCTTTTGATCTGCATTGGGTCATATAATTGATGAGAATTTAGCGCCCCCCCAACCATCTTCCGAGCGTATCGGTCGGACGCAAACCTCTCAGGCGTCCTCTAGTGTTTCTCAGAGCCAAGCACAGAGTAGCCGCAGATCCAGCGAGGAGCCACCTCAAAAGCGCCGTCGCAAGTCTTGGTCTCTCTTTGCGCAACCCTTTGATAGGTCCCTCTACCTTGGGGACATCCCTAAAAAGGATTCAGCAGCCCCGTCTTCTGCTCCGTTACTGTCTCGCCCCGTTTCCAAGCCATCAACAGAAGAAACAACACCGCAAGAATCAGCCACGCCAGACGCCCAGAAAGATGTAGGCGTAGAAGGCCAAGATTCTCTGGGGCGCGAGGCAGAAGAACAGAAGCAAAAGAAGCGGAAGCGCTCCCCGTCGCCTGACGTGATTCCCAACCCTCCAGGGTGCAGTTATGGGCTGGACTTAGATTACTTCTGCTATAGCTCTGAAAGCGAGGATGAGCAAGAAATCCCGCTGCCACGAACTGAGCCAAACAAATCTGGTCGTTTAGCCAAGACAGCTGTCCGCGGCGCCTTGCGCTCAGAGCGGCATTCGTCGAAGAAAGTCCGCTTTGATGCGAGTCCAGAAGATACCCCATCCAAACTCCGACTG